TGGCAACAATTTCAAAAGTGATTCGCTGTTTATAGTGAATGGACGCAAAATGACAAAACAAAAGTAACAGCCTTTCTGAACTAACGCAATAATAATCACTTATGGATTAATGGGTATGTTGTGGGTTTTCTCAGCATTATTCTCATATGAATAAACCCTGCTTTCCTCCTCCTAGATAGATGACGTAATGAGTTTTTTAAATACGGTCATTACTTTAAAAAAAAAAAAAAAAAAAAAAAAAAAAAAAAAACTTAAAGATTTAAAAATTAATGGAAGAGTATATCTCCGAAGTGTTTGCAGATTTTACTTATTAACTCAAAAGATGCGTTAGCCTGAAAGGTTATTAGTTTGTAATGGGAATGTGCGTTGAATCACTATAAACGACGTATCACTTTTCAAATTATTTTCACGTTATATTAGAGCTCTGCCTTACTTTTATGAAAATTAAGTTATGAAGAATTTGAATGAATGTATGAATGTTTTTCGCAATGTAAAAAACTCGACGGAGCCTAGAGTTATCAAATTTTCAATAACATATTCCTTCAATGTGCATATGGAAGCATGCATTTTGAATTTCTTTTATTAGCTATTTCTTACTTTTTTAAAATTTTGATGAATTTTTGATTGAAAATCTCAACGATTTGACAGCAAGTAATGATAATACTGTACAGAATAAAACATTTTTATCTCCAGTGTGGGAGTTTGTCTACCGAAAATTATAAAGATATATTGTCTTTAAATATCTGGTGACTTTACTGATTTTTTTTTTTTTCTTATTACGTGCTCCCCAGAAAGAGAGAGATGCCCCGGTGGAGGTCTTTTTAAGGGAAACTGGCTCGTATCCACGTTACACATGGGAAAAACCACGAAAATGTCCATGCAGCCAGTTCGTTCGCCGGGACTCGAACCCCGGACCGAACTACCAGTGTTCAGCGGCTTTCTCTCGGCTACCTCTCGGGGGCTGACTTTACTGTTAAATGGAATTTTATGTGCCCTAAGTGCAAAACTCGTGATATTTAATAAATAAAGTAAGCACACAAAGCATTAATAATAAAAAGACAAAAAGAACTTTTCAAAGCCATGAGTTAACTGAACACTGATACGATGAACTTAGAAACAGAGTAAAAAAAGTATAAAAAATTTAGGCCAACACTTAACTCTGCATTGGGAATTCTAAATTTCGTTTAATTAAATAAAAATTTTGTAATTTTCTGTTGAATTTTTTATGGCGTAAGTGTAATTTTTTTATGGCGTAATGTTTTTATGGCGTAAGTGTTTTATGGCGTAAGTAAGAAAATGATGTTTGATAATAAAGCTAAAAATGCAAAACAACTGAGTTAGCAGAAGTGAGTGCAATAGCAGGCTAAGTAGACTGCTAGTTCAACGGCATCGAAAAAAATCTTTAACAAACCCTTTTGGGCGATCGTTAAAATCTGAGACGTTTCAGATTTTTGTGCTATTATTATTGTTGTTGTTGCCGTATCCAGAGCAAGTGTTTTAAAGAGACAAAGAGAGAGAGAGAGGGGAACATAGAAAGCGTTCGGGGGAGCCTGTACCCATAGAGAGAGCGTCCACAGGTTAGGGATAGGGGGATGGCCCCATTGGATTCCAGTGAGAAGGGAAATAAAATACCTTCCGCGGAATACCAGGTAGAAACTCCAGAGGAAATGCCAACCCTATTCTATGGCAAGTACAGCGCACATTAAGATTTTTTAAAATACGTTGAGAGAATGCATTGGCATGAAATTAAAATTTACCAAGTATTGAAGTCTGTATGCATGCGGTACTTTGAAATCTTTTCTGTTTGTATGGGAGAAGTTGTTTTTCTTATAGAAGATCTTACTTTTTTAATGTGTTATGCTATTCATCTTTACAGTGAACTGAGGCTACTTTAATTGCGTATAATTTCATTACTTGCATGTTTTACTTTTTACGGAAGTACTGAAATTTTAATAGCCTTCAACTGTGAATTAAAAGTGTAAATAAATACGCGCCTAAATGAGCAGATAATAATATACATACATTTTTAATTTACTATCGTTCCTTGTGGTTTCTCGTTTGATATTTCTGAACGAAGTAAATGAATTATTGTAATCGTAAAACGTTTTGGGTATGATATTTCAACTAAAATATACATTTTGTTCGCTACCGAATCATTTGAACGATAAGTTTTTGTGACGTTTGTACGTGAGGAGAGAATAAAGTATATTATTTCAGAAAATCAGGAAACGAATTCTAAAATGGATTTAAAATTTATTCAGAAGAGATTTTTCTGTAACGTCTAAACGTACGTACTTACATATGTATTTATCTCGTATAACTCAAAAATGAGTAGCCTCAAAAAGTTGAAAGTTTGTATATGGGAACTGTTATAACATATATCTGTGCAATTCCCTTTTTTGTTGTAACTGGCCTCACCAAAAGTGCATATATAAGTGAAGTTTAATAAATACAAAAATACACTTTTAAAACTTAAAATAATTTCAAGCAATAGGTATCTGTAGTGAAAATTTTAGAATGCAAGTCGATAAAAGAGACAATTTTTTATTGGCTAATTGCAAGTAGTGTAGTTCAGAATAAATTTTAGGAAGAAGAGAAAATGGAGGTGACTACAGAATCTATCGCACTTTGAATTTCTATGATTTAAAAGCGGGATTAAAACACGAAGAATTCGTTCGAAGTCTCCAATTAACATTTGGAAATGAAGGCCCATCTCGTGCTAATGTATTCAAATGGTTTACGGAATTTCACACAGGGCATCTCTTCAAGATGAATAACACACAGAAAGGGCGCTGTCAGTAGCAATCCAGGATAATGTGTCTGCCATACGGAAAATGTTAATCGATGAAATTTGCTATACCTAGATACAGAAGGAACTTAACTCTGGATTCATAGCCCTGTATAAAATTATTTTTGAACAATTGCCCACGAAAAGAACTGTTTTGCCATTGGGTTCCCCATAATTTAACTGAGCACCAAAAAGAGAAGCGTGTCAGAATCAGTAAAAACACTCTTAAATTTTCTAAAGATGGTGGCTACCGCATTATTTCTAAAATCACAACAATAAAATTTATTTTATCAACAGAAACAAACTCGTGGATTTTTCCACACAAATACTCGTACAGGTGTTTACAATATCACAACGTAAATCAGTAGTTACGCTACAAACTACTAAGAACTTTAAACACAACGCAGTGCAAAGTGCATCTAAAGAGAAACCTAACCTAGTAATACCTTCACACAGCAATAGCAACAACATATGAGAGCAGATCTTATCTATTTAAACCGGTCGCCGAGGTATTTCTAGTACTTTCTGGTTCTCAAAGTTACTGGAAAGCAATATGAGGGTCGAATTACGGTTACAGCTAATATAGTGATCCATTACCTGTATTCAATTATAATACTTATTACGGTAGTACAAGGACAGACCAAATGCCGCCAAGCTTGGAGAATTTTAGTGATTTATCGCGAAATTTAGTCTCCAAATAAGTTGCCAAAACCTTTGTCAGCTTGGCGGTATCTCGCCATTTACACAATGTTAAATGGACTTCCCCTGTATTTTTACTTTTCCGGCACAGCTCTTCTCTTCAGATATTTTATTTTATGTTAAGCAGCAAAATATAACTATTTCATAAATGATTGCACTAAAATTATCTATGTATACACAAAATTCTTAACAATACGTTCTGTAAAATAACTCGCTTCCCAGCTTATTTTGTTTTGAAGTATCAGAAAAGGTTAACTTATTGACAATTGCCTGCAATTTTCAAGCTTGCGGATAATATTATAAGCAAAGAAATTAGTTAATTGAAGGTTGTATATTTTAAAAGACGAAAATTCCCGTCTGGCAAAATAGATAACTCATGTTTATTTCGTATAAAATGATTCATTATCTTTTAATAAATTCGGTAAGACAATTCTTCAAGCGTAAAAGTAACCACGAGTAACAAGCTTTCATACACTGTATCTGTTTACTCTACAGAAACTTCTAAGGTAAAAAATAGAATCACATTCATTGCAGATAAATTGATAGATGTTATATGCAATTAGTCTAACAGTTAGAAAAGAGATTTCTGCTTGCGCATTATGATGAAGCAACTTATCAAGGAAACAAAATAAATCAAGGTCGAAAAATGGTTTGATGCTTTATTCCAACTGTTGGTAAACTGGTAAAATACATTGCATACCTTACACAAGAACACAAGTAACGGGTTTTAATGTTTAGTTGGGCATATACTGTTACTGATTAGTCCTGAAGTTGTGAATAATTTAAAATTATAATACAACATGAATCCGATACAACATGAATTATGATTCGGATTTGCAAATCAAAATTAAAGAAACATATTTCGTAAGTTATGTAGTTTATGATTACCAGTGCAGCTGCTGTAGGTCGAGAGCGTTAAGTGGCACGTTTTAACAACCGCTTAAGTAGAAGGGTCGTTTATTTTGCATGTACAAGAATTTATGCATATCTTGCTAAATCAGAATTCATCTCAGAGATTAAAACAGTAAGAAATAAAAATATAAATAATTTTAAATGAGTTTAATTTTCTTATGTGTTTTCTTTATTTTTAAATTTGAAAGCTTTACTTTAATTTTCGTAAAATTTCTCATATGAAAGTTAGAAATGCAAAATATGTTTATTTTTAGTTTTTTTTATATGAAAGTAGCCAGTAATATACGTCGCGCATATTTAATGTTAAATAAATTTGAAAAGTATTGTTTGAGTAAGGGAGGAATACTTTTACAGCAAAAAATAACAATGCTTGTGAATTAAACGAAATTTAAAATTCTTAGTTCCTACGACATAACTAGCTGTAGATAAATTTTAGTTGTCTGGTGTATTTTAAGAAGCAAATTATTCAGTTTTTAGTGAAACTGTTTATTTCGGTTTCAGTTATTTTATGCAAATTTTAATTTATGGTAATAAGAAACTCATTCTCCTCTTTCTCTCTTCGTTCATTCTCTCATTCATACACTCTATAGTTTTCACCTACCTCTTTCCCAGTAAACTTTGCTAATTGGGTACCCGGATACTGGGCAATGAATTACGACGCTCTGTCCATCCAAAGCAGTGACGTTCCTCATGGGCCTGATGAACGGAGGTCCAAATACATTAAGTCGTCTGGAGTGGGCGAGGCCCCGAACTCCGTTCTGGGCAATGCACTGGTAAGTTCCACCATCCTCTACTGTGACGCTGGACACGTTAACATAACTATTGACTGTCCTTTCGTCGCTTACGTAGTCGCCAACTCTTATGTGGTATGCTTCGGGGACGGGATATCCATCCACTAACCATGTCACTTGGGGCAGAGGGTTTCCGGATGCAGAACATTTCAAAGACACGGAGATTCCAGGGTGTACAGCTTGCTCTGAAAAGGCGTAAGTGAAAACTGGTGCGTCCTCTGGAAGGTTTAATGTGCCATATCAGAGTGAGAAGAAAGTGCGGTGAGAGAGAAAGAGAGAGAGAGAAAGGGAAGAAAAAAATAAGCATTATCTTATATTTTTAAGAATATTATATTGAAGCAAACATAAAACCAATTTAGCTAATCCTAATTTTAAAAAAAATGTGTCCTTTTAGAATGGATTTATTTTTTATTCGATATGTGTCATACCAATAAAAGTGCCCCACACTCCTAAAACGAAATAATAGCTTCGCAATGAGTCTTGATTTTAAAAGAAAGTTACATGTATGTTAAATTATAAACAAGCTTGTATAATTTAAATTTTGAAAGTATAAATCTTTTCTACAGTAATACTTGGTTAGCATAAGAGGAATAGTCAAATAAATTGTATTAATCAAAAAGTGTTTTCTATCAGCTAGCATTTAATTCTGTCACATAAAGGGTATCTCTTGCATCAATTTACAAGGTATTTTCTCCCCTCTCTCAGCATGGTGTAACGATAACACACTCGGCGCATATTCGAGAAGTCCGTATTTGAGTCCCGGCGAGAACATTGCTCATTTATGATGTACTCCTGCTTCAAAATATCCTAATGACTCAACAACCTGTTTTCATGACATTAGCATCAAGTGAACGCCTTTGATTTCAGTTCAGAATTATGGATATTTATCACGTCGAAAAAGATTTTTGTGTTTTATAAAATTAGTTCTTTGACTGTTGCACAGACTTGTATTGGAATACGGTGCAGTAAATAGCCCTCCACAAGTTGATCCATTTACGACAGGAACAAGAAGTTTGAAAAAATATTTATCTATGCAAGGAAAAAATTAATGGAAAAGCCGCTTGTATAAGCTTAAACAGTCAGCTGTGTTCATGAAACGTGCATAGTTTTAAGAAGTCGGAATTACATCCAAATGAGTAGGTTGACCTAAACAAAACAGCATGTAGAATATTTCTCTTTTGAGGGATCAGAATACAGCTGTAGGATGTTGGTTAGCAAAATCTGCGGATTTAAAACCGTGTGACTAATTCTTTGATAACACATTAACCATCGTACTTTTGTTTTTCCCATTCCTACAAATTTGGAAAATGATTAAATCAACCTAACTAAAAGAGGTAGAGGTGATTTATTGATATCTGCCAGAAAGATAAAAAAAGTTTTAAAGATTTCATAGGACGATCATGAGTCTTCTTCCATTGACTTCTTCGTAATCATAATTTAATATTGAAATTGTGAGATTCGCTAACTTAACGATGTAACAAAATATGTATAACTAATTTAGTGATAGAGACTGGTATATGCGCTATGTTGAGTTCGTGATGGAAGAACATGTTCCCTGTGAACAATCTGCAGTTCGTAACTTTAATTTATGAACCTAAATTTTATTTTGATTACATATTAGGCGTTCTATATGGCCCTGGGCAGTATACACACAAATTGAACAGGCTTTCTTGAACATACGTCGCAGAATGTCCGGCCTTATAGATGAAGTACATTGTTATCTTAAAAGGGGTCGCAATTTCCAACGTTTAGGTACGTGTGTAGCTTTATTTCCCAAAATATGCATATTGCTTATTGAACACGAAGCAGCCATGTAAGTCGTTGAAGAGTTATATTTTTGTCCATAAGAGATAAGTGTTCTGGACATTTGAATACATATATGTAAGAAATGGCCATACAGCTGTGACTATAAGTGACTTAGATAATGCTAAAGCGCCATCTAGATGAGTACGCAGACAATAGTTTAACGATCATGAATGCAGACGTGTGAAAAATGTGACGATTGCTCTTTTCATTTTGATTTAAGTAAATAAACCTTAGTTTAGATGTCACTTGATGAGTTTTAATGATGATTATTAGGCATCTTTATCAGTGATATTTTCCTAGATAAATTCTGATATCAGTAGTATAAAGTTCCTGCCCATAGCTTCATTCGATTTCATGGATTATGTTTAATGCAGAATTCCTAGTCTCAAATTTGCGGATTTTAAAGGCTTCTGACACCAAAATTTATATACAGAAAACATCAATAATAAATATATATGCAGTCACCACTAACACTCATAGAGATATTTCTAAACTAGGATTTACTTATATAAATTAAAATGAAAAGAATAATCTTCCCATTTTTTTTTCCACCTCTGCATTCATCATCGTTAACCTCTCGTCTCTGCGCTCATCTAGATGGCGTTTTAGCATTATATATACGTAAATCAGTAGTAGTCACATCTGCATTGACATTTCCTACGTAATTCGGCCATCCTACATCGTCATCTGTCCCCTATTACCTGAACTTAAGTGTTCTAAAAGCATTTTCTCATATGAACTGATTTACACCTTTGGACTTTAAACCTATATATTTTTTCTTTCATAATGTTTACTAACTATTATTTTTTCATTGTTCTAAGTGTTGTTATTAGATGATTCTGACTGAATACTATTCTCATTTATGTGTATTAATTTAGTATTTTCATTTATTGTTTAATAGTCTTAGGATTTTCATTTTTAGAATATTTTATATGTTAAATTTCACTATTTGCTCTTGCCATCTGAGGACAGATGACGATGTAGGATGGCCGAATTATGTAGGAAATGGCCATGAAGCTGTAACTGTAAGTTAAATAGATAATATTAATGAATCCTATAGATGAGCGTGTAGCGAGAGCTTAAAGATGATGGATGCAGATATGCGAAAACGTGACGATTATTCTTTTTCTTTTAATTTTCATTTTAAGTGTGTTCATGCGGACGTGTGATGTACCATCGAAGGGTATTTTCAGAATATCCATCTAGTAATTATATGGCGCTTCGCTGAATCTTGGGTTTGTTTAGTGATGATAAAACCCCTTTCGAAGTTTATTAATTGTTTAAATCAATGTCGACATCGAAATAAATTCAAATAATAAGTTAAATAAAACATAAAATAATCTCGTTTCCTTAAAATTTTGATTTGCAATAGTTACTTTTGATTTATAAAATGTTTATAAATTTTGCATTTTCTTTGGTTAAATATTAAAAAAAAATATATTTATATAGAATGGTGCTTTTAATTTGTTCAATGGTCTATTTTGTTTTCTAATTTTTAGAGTTCTTATTTTATTATTTTATACTTTTTTTTTACTGTGGTAGTTATTTAAGGTCACATAGGAGCAGATTATACCTTGAAAATGAATTATTATTTTAAGTTTATAGTTTATTGAATTATAACTTTTTATTTATTTCATACTGTACTCTTTATTTCATTCTTTTTTTATTTGTTTTCATACTTTACATTTTTAATTTTATACTTTATTATTTTTTTATTTCATACTTAAAATTTAATTTATTTTACACATTTTTATATTTGGTATTTATATATTATTTCACTTTGATCAATAACAAAAATATTTAACGATTTTTACATTATTGTTATGAATTAATACTTCAATTTCATCTGATACTGCCTTTTGTATTATTTAAAAAATTTATAATAATCCCAATATAATGCAAAAATGTAGGTTTCGTGAAAACTCTTCGCGTGCTACTTGAAAAGGACCAAAGAAATTTTAATAATTTCCTATACTATTTAATATATTATTTCACTGTCCAGTTTTGTTTTTGTTTCAGTTTTGATGTATGTACTTTAAGTGATATTGTTAAAGCCTTACATTGATTTATTTATGATTTCTTGATTGTTTAATACATTTTGCAGCAGACTACACAATTTAATAATTTACAATCTTAATTTTGAATATTCTGAACTTCTTGTTTATATATATACTATGTACGTATATGTGTGTGTTTCTGCGTGTATATGATAATAATATGTAAAGCCAACCTCCAATTTTAATTGGCGATAGTCCTTTAATATTCGAAATTAATTTGGATATTTTCTATTTCGATCTTTTACATGCGTCAAAATGAAAGAGTACTAACATATATCGAATTTTTAATAGCCAAAGAAAGGATTGCCAAAAATTGTTTTTTCAAATAAGCTTTCATCCTGGATTACATCAAATTTCATTTTTCACTTTGTATTTTGTATCTGCCAAAGTGCATCTGTCGATGTTTAAAAAATACATAATAAACTCTGGAACAGGCCCATTTATTTTAAACAATATATTTTGTGATAATTAAAACATTTTTGATCAACTAATATATATATATATGTGTGTGTCTCATTTTTATTTTTTTATGTATCCTTTCTTATCTTATCTTTTATATTTATCTTTTGAGAAAATTTCTTGGAATAAAACCTGTTTAAAATATTTAAACGTGTGTAATCCATTGACCAAGATATAACAAACACTAAATTAACAGAGGAAAGAGTATGATAAAATTACGCAGGTCACTTTATTCTACATAACTCCAAATTTTCATAACAATAAATCACATATATTACATTTAAAGCGATAAAAAGTACTTTGGGGAAAGTGAATAAATTTCGAATTTTTACGTTCAAAATAGCAAGATACCTATTTCCAATTAGCGACGAATTACGGATATTTCAGATACGATAACTCATTTTTTAACATTCCTTTGCCTATTTGAAACTGGTATAAAACTTTCAACAAATTTCAAACCTTAATGAATTTTGCAACGTTATAATTTTACTATCCGATCTGGAAGTAGAAGTTAATTTCATTAGCCGATAACATACATTTAAATATATTTTACTAAAACTGAATTCAGCATCATTTATTTCAGTTATTTTTTACAGTTAAAAGAAATTCTTGCTTCCAGCATTGGGAAATATTTGAATAAATATAAAACGAACTTTTTAAAACATATATTTTATTCGTCATATAGATTAGAAGACGCGGTAAAACTAATAACGAAGCGGCGTTGAAAGTATTTTAAAACTGAAAAAAAGAAATATATTTTTGAAAACGCATCACATATTAATTTAATAAATTTTTAGGCACACCTGTAACAAATACACTAGGGTTTCAGTACCATGCAAACTAGCGTATTCTGCTTAGTTCATGTATGTTTTAAATATGTGCCTAAACCACAATAT